CATTCCTGTCTGGAGCAGACAACAGAGCTTCAAAGCAAGGGAAAAAACAAATACTGTGCTATTGAAGGCCATAACCTTCTACCTTTTAAAAAAGGGTCTAATCTTAAAAAATAACAGGGTAAAAGCCAACTAAATGAGGCTGGTAAAGCTGAAAACAAGGTGTTCTTTGTTTAACTGTTACAGTACTGGTCTTTCCCAACACATGAACTAAATGAACGTTATTGCAAAGTCTAAGTATCCGTTATATCCAGAGGGTTAAAGAGGCAGAACTAACAAAGAGAGAAGACTGAAGGATATTTCATTTCTGAAGTAAAGGTATCAGCTACTGCATCTTATGTCAAGATAACTTATGAGAGCAGGACAACTTGAGGTTTCTTCTTGGCAGAGGCATTGATGAGACCCCCAATTTCATGTTTTGATTAACATCAATAACCAGACACAAAGGTATTAATAGTGAAATTCATAGGAGAGTGAATCCTCTGGAGTGATTGAGTCACTTTGCTGTATGTGTAGTAATTAAGAGGATTTTTTGGGAGCTCTCTACCTAGCATGGTAATGGTTACCCAGCACAATTAAGCAAATGAATTCTGAAGCCAGTATGGGAGTAGGTTATTCAGTATCTTGAAGGATTGGGCCTCCTCATTTGCCTAGGACATGCATTTTGTATAAGTGTTGATTTGGGTATCCAATCTGAAACATTTTAAGGGCTAGGGAGTCAAGATAAAACTGAAAATTTACACTGTGACGTCAGCAGTCACATCTTTATATCTATCTGTGTATATAGCTACATAATATATTTATATATATAGTGGACATAGATGTAAAAAGATACCTTTAATGCAGTCTATATTTCTTTTGCTTGAGAAGATACACTGTAACAACAGGTTTTCAAATGCAGATGGATCTGAACATGTTTGTCCTGTTTATCCTCCCAGAATTCGGGACTGTGCTTGGGTCACAACAACCCCATGCAACGCTACAGGCTTGGGGAGGAGTGGCTGGAGAGCAGCCCAGCAGAAAAGGACCTGGGCGTGCTAGTTGACAGCTGGCTGAATATGAGCCGGCAGTGTGCCCAGGTGGCCAAGAAGGCCAACAGCATCCTGGCCTGTATCAGAAATAGTGTGGCCAGCAGGAGTAGGGAAGTGATCGTGCCCCTGTACTCGGCACTGGTGAGGCCACACCTTGAATCCTGTGTTCAGTTTTGGGCCCCTCACTGCAAGAAGGATGCTGAGGTGCTGGAGTGTGTCCAGAGAAGGGCAATGAAGCTGGTGAGGGGTCTGGAGCACAGGTTTTATAAGGAGCAGCTGAGGGAACTGGGGTTGTTCAGTCTGGAGAAAAGGAGGCTGAGGGGAGACCTTATCGCTCTCTACAACTACCTGAAAGGGGGTTGTGGCGACGTGGGTGTTGGCCTCTTCTCCCAAGTAACTAGTGATAGGACAAGAGGAAATGGCCTCAAGTTGCACCAGGGGAGGTTTAGATTAGATACTAGGAAAAATTTCTTCACCGAGAGAGTGGTCAGGCATTGGAACAGGCTGCCCAGGGAGGTGGTGGAGTCACTATCTGTGGAAGTGTTCAAAAAAATACGCGGATGTGGCGCTTCGGCACATGGTTTAGTGGGCATGGTGATGTTGGGTTAACGGTTAGACTTGGTCTTGAAGGTCCTTTCCAACCTTAATGATTCTGTGAATTAGTATCTGAGCATATCGATGCCAATGCTTAAACAT